AGTCCCCAAATAAACTTTAAGGTTACAGCTTCCGAGTGTACGACTAGCGGAAATCTGATTTATATTTACTAATAATTAATAACAGATGGTTCATAGTAAATAAGAACCAATCACATGCTCATATTTTTAAGAGTGTTTGGGCCTATAGTATGCCCTTACACTGTAAGTAAATGTTATACAAGATGCAAAATACAGAGAAATGTTACAGAAAATCTTAGATCATCATAGCTTATAGGTTAGAAATGATCCAGAGTGTTTGTCTAATAAAGGCCTGTGAAGCAGACTGCCTCCCATTTACCTGCTTTTCTCTTTTGAGGTCATTCAGCTTTGAGTTCCATCCAAAGTTAAGGCTTTTCTGCATCACCGATGGTTTATTGTTCAGCAAGACAAACACTGACTGTAAGACTTCCTAAAAATCTCTTCCTAACATTCGAGACAATATTGACTAACCTAAAGATCAACCATCAAAGCATTGTTTAGGTTGATTTATAACCAAAGCAGTGTGGTCAAAAAAAGGGGCCATATCCTAAACCTGACAAGCTCAGGGAAGACCTGGATGGCAGGATGTAAAACACATAAACTTAAGCAACCACAGAGGATGGTCTGAAATTAAAACTCTTAACCAAAGTGAGTTGTGGTGGGTGGTCATGTCCTAGGCTGGTATCTTTCCTGACAAAGGTCAATCTTTACCTCAACTTAGAGTGTTCATTATCTTTTTGCCTTAAACATAGCATACCTTTAACATGTCAGGGTAGTTTTCTGAACACCTCGCTTCACCAAAACAAAGACAACATATCTTCTCACTACTATCACTATTGTGTTCATTGCTAACTGCTGACTTTCCTATACAAAGCAACCTTAAAATTGTGTCTATTACTTTTAATCTTTAACAATCTCAGGGATTCCTGCACTTTTCTTTCTCTAACATCTCTAATCTATTGCCAGTGGATTTCATATAACCCCTCAGGCCCTGACATTTGAAGGTACTGTATGAACTGAGGGGCAAATTGCCATTCTTCAGAACATTTTCTCAGTCCATTGTGATTTTGCTTCCTGCAAGTATTATCATGTTTGTCTCAAAAAGACTATTAATTTTTTTTTCAGGTTGAAACATTTCTTAAGTTCACAGCTGAAAATTCCAAACTTTTTATCAGAACTTGGTCTTTCTGGTGACCTACCCTCACTCTGCAACTATCCAGAGGCCAGCCAGGAGATGCGTCATCACAAGAAAAGTCCATTCAACACCCACATCACTTACAAAATTCCAGGGGTTTTAAATGTCCTGTTCTAAAATCCAAGAAAGAAGACCAAATGTATTTTTATGACATCACATGAGAGAAGTGACACTTATCAAGGTGGGGTCCCTCACCCAGAGTTACACAGCCTGCAGGTGGGCTCAGAAATGTCACGTGGCACTTGGCATACATCCTTCATTGTATTAGGTTTCCTTTTATATCAGAGGGACTAAAACTTAAACACTGCCTTTTCCCTACTCCTAGTGATTGACAATCCAGATGTGAATTAAATGCAGTTTCTGAGGTGCACTGGTTCATAATTTAGAAGGTGGAACAGAGATGGAACCATTATTTCTGTCACTGTGATGACTGATGTGTGGGTTGTGGCAGACATGGTTTCATGTGAAGAAGCAGGTGTTTCTTTACCTCTGGGTGGAGCTGTTGCCATGGGATCTTGAAACCAGACTCCCATGGACAATTCCCTAACATCTATTTCTCTAGCTACTCATTTGTTTTATAAATACTAATTTTTTGCCTTCTAGAATTTTCTGCATTCATGTTCATGGCAGGTTTACTTGGAAGACCCCGAAATTGGACACAACACAATTGTCCTTAAAGGGAGAATACATAATCAAAATTAATGCATCCTTAGAATAACAGATAACTAGACTTTGAAAAGAAAGAGCTATGTCAAAATAATCTTGTTGAGTCAAGAAGCCAACCTCAGCCTAAAATTACATACTTCATGATAAAAAATTTGGGAAATCCTGAAAATGTATATGAATTCATAATAGAAGAAGCTGATGGGAGTTTTAGTAACATTAGAAAATGAGGTATAGAAATGAAGAATAAAGAGATCACAAGAGGGCATGAAAAGACTTTAATAATAAGGGGCAAGGCCTTTACGTTAATTGTAACACATTATCTGGTACATGCATCAGGAAAAGTATCATAAATTGTATGCTTTCAATATGTTAAGCTTATTATATTCAACTGTAATTCAAAAATATGTTAAAATTATATATACCTGTGAAATATTGTCTTAAGTATAATTGAATAGAAAGTACAAAATTAAAACAAAACCAACTGTAACGTGACATCTTCTTGCCAATTTTTCTGCTTGTCTGCCAGGGTGTGGCAGAGTTACTCTGCAGGCTGGATACTTTCTGGGGCACAGGTGACCCCAACAGAGCAGCACCCACAGCCCAGCAGAGCCCAACCTCAAAAATATCAATCATTACACATTCTTCCTAACTCTTCAAGCTCCTCATCCAGGAGAGCAGAATCTCTGCTCCTCCATCTAGCCAAATATCAGCCCACCAAAGGTCACTCCTTTGCAGACATCTTTTTTTCTTAACATCCTCTGTTCCTCAATTTGTTCCTCTGTTTCATAAATTCTTCAGATGTCAGCAAAGAGGACACTTTTTCAAAAGTGCTCCCTATGATCCCCAAAACAACTAAGATTCAAGTACATGCTGTGTTGCACCTGAAGTATTTGTTCATACCCCTTCACTGAATTACAACTAATCCCCTAGAGCCATAATATATCTGAGACCCTTTCTCTGTTACAAGGCAAACTTGATAAGCACAAGGCCCACACATGTTGTATTCTCCTTGGAGTTTCCAGGGCCCAGGCAAGAGCCTGACTCATCACAGAAGCTCTGTAATTTTCATTAAATTGATAAGGGGAAGTTCACAATGGAAGGCTATCACTCTGTGTGACTTTTGCAGTCAAGTTATGTGTCCATAGACACAAAGGTATTGGTGTGAGTATGACAGGAAGCCATTGCCTGCTTGGGGACATCCTAGGTTCAGGTTTTTACTTCTCATACAGTCCAAAGGAAGGACAGGATCCTCCTAACAGTTAGGGTTGGACTCTGTTTTATTCCCCTTAAAATCACAGCCCTCCACAGACCCACCTTGTGAGTTATGTCTCATCACCCAAGACCTCTGTTCTTCCTGTTCTCACAGATACTCAATCTGACAGAAACTCTGGATCCCCAGTCCTTGGTGGGGTTACTATGAGGGAGGAAAGAGCATACCCTGAGCTTATAGGAATCAGGTTTGACTTTTCATTATTTTACATAACTTCCTTTATGTTACCTGGTCCCCTGCACACCTTCTCTGGGTCCTGTAAATGTGAATTTTCCTGTGACCACCAATGTAAAAAATGCATGTTTCTCTATTTGGGATTTTTTTTCACAATTCTAGAGATTTTCCTGCTATGTTTTCTCTCACCTACTAAGGGAGATTATGCAACTGTTTTCAACTTCTGCTTTGATTATAATGAATAAAATATGCTGCAAAACTTCCTTTCTTCATGGGATTTGAAACCTACATGCCCAGCATATGTTATCATTATGGCTCAGGTAATCTCATTAAATTGCTTTAAAGGTGTGGACTTCTTTATATTTTGACAGGGCCTGGGAGCACCTCCTCCCTCAGGCATGTCTTTGCTGCTCCTCATGTATGACATCATCCATGGGAATCTAGTGAACACAAGAGCCAACCAGGCAGAACTCAGATATTGTTCCAATAGACACAGAGCACAAGGACAGGTCCAACAAACACATGTGAAGAGGGTGGTGTATATTAAGCTGATCCCTGAGAACCAGGAAACCCACAGGCAACTGACATTTCACCAAAGGCCTTTCTTGCTGGGACACTCAGGACATCTCCCACTTTACACCCAAAATCTTCAAATCTGACAGAGTTCTTGTTTTAAGTCTGTGTCCCTGGAAGCAAAATCCAGTGTAGTGACAACCTGAGGTATAAGAAGGGTCCCCACTGAAATTTTCACAAGTCTGACCCTTTTCACTGCCAGATTCATCTCTGTGACATCCCCGCTGGAAGGGAATAAAAGTTTCTCAGAGCATTTGAGAACATGGGGAGGACCAGGTGACCAGCTGGGTTTCTGTGTCACAAATAGAAATATTACAGATATTTGCAGGATACCAGAAGCCTTCTGTGTGGGGCTGACAGAGCAAAGACCAAGACACAGCAATGTCCAATGCTGGCATGAGTGGGTCACTGTTTCAGGGATATATGTGCCCCATCAGCCTTGCTAATGCAAGTGTACACTACAGCTCAGTAGGATCAACCTCCCCTGAGAGCTTGTCAGATACAGAGTCTCTGACCCACTGTAGCCTGATCAGACTTGGTAGTTTAATGGGATCTGAAGACATCCCCTCTGCACAGGAGAGCAATAGAAGTGATTCTACCCTCCCATGAAGGGTTCTCATCTTGATTGGGCAACCAAATTAGCTGGACAGCTGCTGAAGCTATATTGTTAAGGTGTCACCTGGGCATTGCAACATTTATAATGCCTCACAGATGATCCAGTGCCCAGCAGGGGTGATATTCCTGTTTTAGGTTTTTCTAACTTAGCTCAAGAACACCTGCTCTGTAGGGAAAAGTCAAGTGGGAAAGAGAGAGGCTGTGAGAAAGACTACTGGGCACCAGGCAGGAAGGTGTGTGAAAACCCTGAGAGCCATACACCTCAGTCTTGTGCTTTTCCTATCACAGCATGAGGGTGTATTTGTGTGTGTGTGTGTGTGTGTGTGTGTGTGTGTGTGTGTGTGTTTATATGCATGGGTGCCTGTAGGTGTCTCTATGCTTTCGAGAAGCCTCAGGAGTTCTTGAGGAGACAGAATGTAGGGATCGGCACTGGTTAGAAGGGACAAGAGTGGAAAAAACTGAAGGTGGTTCATTGGAGTGTCCTGTGTGCCAACCCTGCCCCCAGCCTGCATGACAAAAATAGTAAGCATGCCCCAGAATGAAGCTCAGTACACAGGTAGGAAACACAGCAGATTGCACCATTCTGGACAGAGTTGCCTGTGAGCCTGGCAGAGCCTCAGGCTTTTCTGAAAGACACAGCCACAGAGGAGGCAGCAGACACCATGGGATCCCATTCAGTCTCTGTGCACAGAGGATTTCTCCACTGGCAAGAGCTCCTGCTGGTTGGTAAGTCTATCCTTGGGATAGATTAAGGATATGACACAGAGATTGGCTGGTATCTGCTGGAGAGAACAGTGTTCTGACAAAAGAGGGAAATCTTCTGTTTGGAGCTGAGTGTAAAGGACAAAAGGGAAGAATAGGATAAGAAAGGGAGCTCAGCAACAGGAAAATCACATAATCTGGAAGTGGTGGGAGGCAGGAAAACCTTGATTGCTGTTCATTACCTATTTAGTGCATCACTGAGCATTGAATTATGAAAACTGGTAATAATAATAATGATTTATGTCAGAAAACAGCAGAAGAAACTCATCCAGGGGCTAGGCATTGTCTTTACCACAAACCTCAGAAATCAGTAAATGCCTCCCATGATTTAGAGGACCCTAGGAAAACTCATTCATTCATCCCAATGTATTTCTAGGCAGTTAGAGTCACTGTAGGTACTAAGTCTGAGAGCCCCTGCACTCATCAAGTCCATGTTCTATGGAGGAGAGAGGGACAAGGAAAAGTCCAAATGTGAGGTCAGGAACCCACAATAGCCATGGAAAAACAACAACAACAACAACAACAAACAAACTAACAAACAAAAAAAAAGGATGTCAGAAAGTGAAGGCAGAGAATCTTTAGAGAATGTTGTCAGCAAAGGTGTCTTTCAGAAATGTTCCTAAGTGTCAGAAGGGGTCTGAGTATAGTGAAGGGGTGACTAAATCAAAAACTTAGAGAAGAGTACTTGAAACAGAAAAATGAACAGTTTCAGAGGTGCTAGAAGTTACTTTTAGAAGTAATGGGGGCCATGCTCTTGACCTTGACTATGGGAGACACACACTCTTGTGCAGACCAAGGCTGAGAGATAGAGACCTGCTCAGGATTCAGGGCCCTATCTTTCCAACCCAATATGAAGATACAAATATTGATCAATTTCTTTTTCCTATTTTCTAGTGTCACTCTTAAACTTCTGGTGCTTGCCCACCACAGCCCAACAGGATATATTGTTGATAAATGCTGCTGAAGGGGAGAATGTGCACTTACGTATCCTCAACAAACCTCCTGATGCAATACACCTCTTATGGTACAGAGGTGAATTCCTGGACAACAAACATATAATTGCATTTCTCACAGAAACCTCAAGTTACCATATAAGTGGTCCATCCACTGGACGAGTAACAATAAAACGTGATGGGTCTTTGCTGTTAAAGAAGGTCACCAAGAAAGATGCAGGAATCTACACTGTAGCAGTGGAAAAAGAAAATTCCCAAACATTAATAGGATATGTGAAGCTAAGTGTATACCGTGAGTGATTTTTCTCTGACCTCTAGTTTTTTTGGGGGGTGAACTCTACTTCAAACACAGAACTGATAATTCTTGACTCTTCCTCCATTGCCCTCTGCATTTTTTTCCAGGCTGGATTTTGTCATCTATTACAGAATACAGAGTGTAGACAAAATTCTTAAGATCTCAGTTCCCTTCCCAACTTGCAGCCCTGCAGACAGTCACGACAGACAGAAGAATCATTCTGATGAGAGTAACTCTGCAGAGGGAAACCAGTCTCAGTTCAGCCCCCTGAGCATGTTCCTATGAACTTGACCTGAGGCTGACCATGCTATACTACATCAGATCATGGTCTGAATGGCCTCCTGATAATCATACAGAGCTCAGCTCAATAACCCGTTCCCAGAACGCTGTGCCAGGGCTCTTGACTCCAGGAACCCTGGGGAGCTTCTGCCAGGTTGTGTTTGGAGTCCTTAAAAGGACTGAGAGTGTAACAGTTTAATGGACACCTGAGTCACAAGGCTCCTGAGCCTGTCACCAGTCCTGGCTCAAGCCCAAGAGTCACATCTTGGCAGAAATGGAGTTTCGTGTCACCTGAGTCTATGTGTTGATAGCACAGTTAGACAATGTCTGTGGATATAGCTGACTGTTCTGTGGGGCTTAGGAAGGTTCAGAAAACGGTAAGCATCTCAAGAAGGAAACTGAGGAAAAAAGATGTTCCCAGAAAGTCCTCATTCACCAGGGTTTCTTCCGCCCAGGGGATTCTCTCTTGGAGTCAATTAATAAGAAGTGCCTCATTTGAGCATCTCTTCTATTTCAAGATTTAGGTCAGATCCTTTAATATATTACAGTTCCTGCACTGACAACCTGACCACCAAATATTCATTGAGAATAAACTGAGAAACAGGGAGATACTGTCAGTAAACCAGTAACACAATCCATGAGCATCTGATCAGAGTCACTTGAGTACTGTCTGTAGTCATAACCTTGATTTCTCTATTTCAGGGGACATATGAGGGCCTCTTTGGGTTCCTAAACCAATGAATTGGTTCAGATACTTTTTCTCTAGGCTCCCTCAGCTCATAAGAATACACGTTGTTTTGTGGAGTGAAAAAAATGGAGAAACAATGTATTTTACTCCACAATCCATTTACCTGCAGTAACAAAGTCACTGCATAGAATACCCAGGCCTCTCCCTCAGGTGGCCCATCCACACCTCCCTGTACTTGACATCACTTATTTGATTCCCGTTGTGGTGCAGTAACACCCACAAGATATAATGAAAAAAAAAGGACTTTGCCTTTTCATTCCCCACTCTATCCCTGAAACCAGTTTAGAACCAACATGTAATAAATATCCATTGCTTTTGATATATTAGGAAGAAATAAATTGTGATTGATTGATTGACTGAATGAATGAATGAATGATCCAAAGTTTCTTCAGAGCTGGAACCTGGATTGAGAGTCCTTGGAATGTTCACCATAGGGGACAATCTCTCTGTGCCTCCAGGAACTAAGACCATCATCTCACATCCTTTTCATTTCTCTAATAAAATAGTTATTTTTGCAATTGGTCTTGGGCCCTGGGGTATTAATAATAATTTTCACATACAGAAGAATTTTAAGTTCCTTCCAAATATACACCTCAAAACCACCTAACACAAGTTGCCCCCTAGCAGCAGAATTTCAGGAAGTCAGTGCTCCCCATTTTCTGTAACTTACAGATTTTGCATTTGCCCAAGTCCTCACCTGCTCTCAGAGGACAGAGAATGACTTTAATGGTCAAGGGCAGAGCACATGATTCTGCTGCCATAATCAGCTTCTGTCTGTCCCTTTTCCTCTTTCCTAAATCATTTATTGAAATTTGCTCTATTATTTATTGGCTCACTGGCTCATTTCATTCACCTTCACCTGGAAAAACCTGTAGAACCTCTTCCCCCAGAGGCCTGAGTAGTCAACTTACCACTGACTTGCTTCTGGTCCTTATGTGTTATTTCTTCTTCAACCCCAGTCTCCAGAATGCCCTGGGAAATAGTGTCTCAAGGAAACACACCTCAGCTGGGTGATAAAAGTCTGTGCAGCTGGAAGGAAAGGTTTCTGCTCAGCCAGGCACACAGTCGGTGGTCAGTGAAGAACCAGTAGAAGTGCACGGGTATCTCTGACACTCATTCCTAAGTCTGTCCATAACCAAACACTGATAGTAAAATAACACCTGAGGAAGTCTGTATTTCCCCCAGACCTATAGCCAGACACCATATTTTCACTGAGCACTCGGATTTCCAAATATTGTTTTGTGATACATCAACCTGCCTTATTATTTCAAAGAGTCAAGTTACTGAGAAGTGAGAAGTGCCAACTGTGATTTAAGAAGCCTTTGGAGAAATCAAAGGTACCACACAGGGCCATTTTTTCCTCTTACTTGCAGAGTAAAGTTAACCCCACCCAACATTGCAAGCAACAGATTTCACCTTGAGAGATTTGATTTTTCACTTTATTTAATAATAGTGGTGTTGAGCATCTCTTTTTTTATGGCAGTTGTCCATGTATATATTCTCTGGAGAAAATTCTAATCAAGTGCTTTGTCACTTTATAAATCAGATTATTCATTTTGTTCTTGTTGTAGAGTTGTAGATCTTTTGTATATTCTAGACATTAACCTTTTATTGTCCATTGCTTTTCAAAATACTTTCTCCATTTCATAGGTCACCTTTCAATCTGTTGTGCTTTTTGATGAAGAGAATTTTTCATTTTGTCAAAATCCAAATTGTCTCTTTTTATCAGTATTCTTAGTGTCATATTCATAAAATAATTGCCAATTTAATGTCATAATGTGTATTTCTATACTTTTTCTAAGCATTTTAAACTTTTACATCTAACCTTTACAACTTGATCTATTTTAACCTAATTTGTGTGTATGGTATAAGACAACAATCCATGTCAAATGTTTTCATGTGGACATTCCTTTCCAATATCAGTGTTAAAACTCTATTTTTCTCCTTTTAATAGTCTAGGCCTTTTCACTGACACCATTTGATTGTGTCTTTGATGAACAGAAGTTTTCGTGCCAGCATCTCACTGTTTTGGTTCCCTTAGCTCTGCAGTAAGTTTTGAGCTTAGGAAAGTATAGACATTGTAGTGCATTCTATTTTAAACACCATTTCAATATAACCCTAACAATTGGGGTTCATTGAATTTCCTTATGAAATGTAGGATAGGTTTTTCTACTTCTACAAGGAAGACCTTGAGGTTTTGATACTGATTGTGTCAAATATGTAGGTAGTTTGGGGTCTTCCAATAAATTAACATGCATGTTTTTCCATTTATTTGTGCCTAATTTCTTTAAAAAATGTTTGGTAGTTTTCAGTGTATACAATTTCTACCTTATTAATTAAGTTTATTCCTTTGAATTCTTGTCTTTTAATGCTATAGAAAATGAAACATATTTTTAATTTTTTTTGTAATTTTTTATTGTTGTTGCAAGAAAAGAAAGTGATCTTAAATGTTGATTTTGTCTCCTGCAACTTTGTCTTATTTATTAGTTCTAAGTATGTGTTTATGTTTGTGTGTCAGAAACTTTACGGTTTTCTATATATAAGATTATCTTATCTTTTCAAAAAGCATTTTTTTTATTTTTCACCAATTTGGATACAACCTGTTTCATCTTCTTGCAAAAATGTGGTGGTCAAAATTTCCAATACTCTGTTGAATATATGGAATTATAGAATCTATTATTTGTTCATGATATTACTAAATTCTTTTAGTGTTTCCATGGAATATTGTGTTATCTCTGGACTTTCAGGTATGGCCTTTATTATAGTATATAGTTTTCCTCTATTCGTACAGTCAGTATTCTTTGTTGAAACCATATTCACTTCCCTCTAGAGATTAATTTCTACATGACATTGAATCAGTAGACCATGAAATAAAATCTTGTCCAGACTTAAAAGTATTTTAGACACAAATCCTTCAGGTCTACAGTCATGAAGACTGCATTGGGCCATATTTTTCCTAGCAAATTACTTAACAAAAGCTAAATGCTTTTCCTTACTGTAAACTTCCCTCAGTTGTAGGGATGTACAAAGTTGGTAAACCTACCTTCATAAACACACATAAAATTTTACATAAGTACTAGGATGTATTTTGAAGTCAAAAAAGTTCTAGAAAAAATCGAGAAAAGCTCATGAGAGAAAAATGGTACCTGATGATGAGGTTATAGGACACATGGGCTGGGAAGGGGTTCTGTGTGCTGTGAAGACACAGATGTCTGCAAGTACAGTTAAGGAATCACCCGGAGCTTACGTAGGGTCATAGAGGAGGTACAGCTCTCTCTTTACATATTGTCACCTGAATATACACAATTGTTCTTCTGCAAATGTCAGAACCTTACTCTGGTGGCCTCTACATAGCTCATTGTGGACTGTGAATGGCTGAGATCTCTGAGGAAGCAGCATGGCTCCATGGCTTAAGCCCGTTCTCAATGAGTCACATTCTCTGTTTCTTCACAGGGCATGTGAGAAAGCCCACCATCCGAGCCAGCAACAACACAGTCACAGAGGATAAGGATGCTGTGGTCTTTACCTGCTACTCAGATGCACACACCATCCAGTGGTTGTTCAATGGCACAGAACTGCAGCCCACAGAGCGAATGAAGCTGTCCCAGGACCACAGAAGCCTCACTATAGACCCAGTCAAGAAGGAAGATGCTGGGAATTACCAGTGTGAAGCCTCCAACCCCATCAGTTCTGTTGCAAGTGTGGCCCTTGAGCTGGATGTGAAATTTGAGTGACTCTTCTTCCCCTCTTTATGCTGTTATGCTGTTAAATAAAAGGTTTTCTTGCATTATTATAATAGATTTATTCCAAAGGTGAATAGTCCTTAAAATTTTGCATTGAGTCAGTAAACAATTAAAAATCTGAGCTAACATTGACTGAAAGTCACATTTCAGACCAAACCCCACCTCAGTTTGGTCTCATATGTACCATGTCCACAGTGTAGCTGACACTGTGTCCCTCAGAGGATGAGCAGTTGTCCTGTGATAACCAATGGTATCAGGTGAAGTGTGTAGAGAATCTGAGCAGTGTCTCTTCTCCATGAAAACAAGTGGAGTCACTGGGACAGTGCTGTTGTTGGGGTCTGTTGTTTCAGAAGGCAGAATGAGTGCTTTGCAGGTAGTTCAGAAGACTAGATCCTACATAGCAACAGAATTTCTTCTGGGCAACCAAGAATTAGTAGGGCCATGGGGCTATCTAGCCAACAGGTGCCTTCCTGAAGCACTTTTATTTCCCATACATAATCACATTAGCCTAAAGTGAACATCTTAATTTTTCTCCTGAAGCACAATTTCTGTCTGAATCTCTAGCAAAAATATGAACAGGGTTGCCACTTGTATCTGAGTTTTATTTCCTAATAAACAGCTTAAAAGCAATATTCTTAAACTAAAATTTCAGATTGGCAAAATGTTGGTTTCATTACATATACACAGTTATTCACTTCTGTTTTTCTTTTCTGTTCAACCTTTCAGTGTCTCCCCAGTTCACTCAGGGCAAAACCAAGGTTCTGGCTGATGGCTTCATTATTTCTGACTTCATGCACTCTCATCTTCTGATCTCTCTGCTCCAATAAGTTCACATCCTCTGTGCTGAGCAAACACATTTGAAATGAACAAAAAAAATCACCCCAAATATGCCTTACTTTATTCTAACATACTGTCATACAAGGTTGTTGTCACTGTTGTTTTATTATTGAGCTATTGTGTGACTCTCTCACTACCAAGTCAGGACTAAGAGGTCTGAGATCTGTTTTTTCTGTTTTCATTCTTGTGATAAGAAAGAAGAGTGTCAGGGAGATGGTGAGCAGAGGGTCAGTGTTCTTTGATAAATGAATTAAAAATTACAAATATGATAATGATCAAAAGGTTAAAATAGAGAGCATTATTCCCTCCCAGAAGTCACAGAGCATTCTGACCTGGTGATGATCAGTTAATTTTTTTTTTTCATAAAGAAACATCTAATAGAGAATGAGCCCAGGAAAACCTAGAGCCCATGTTGGTGGCAGGAATAAGAATTCCAGGCAGAGGACACAGCAAGGGCAAAGGCCAGGAGGTAGGAACATTCGGTGAAGAAAATGAATTTTGGTGATTAATTTTGGTGATTCAGTGAGCTAATATGCCTGAGGTACCCAATACATAGTCAGTTGTAAAAAATGACCAGTGTTTTAATTATTGCACTCCTATGCGAACCCATTCCATGTCTGCCCATGTAAAAACAACATTATTAGGAAAACAGCATGCTCCCGTCCTGACCACACAAGCAATGCATGTCATCATGCATTGATTCCAGCTGACTGATGTATAAGTGATCGACAATAAACCACACATATGTAAAGTTTACAATCTGGTGAGTGTCGGCATGCCTACACACTCCACATGTATCAATTTTACCCAAAATTTTTTCAGATGCCTTTGAAACCCCTTCTTCTGTTCCCCACCCAGTCCCCAGAGTTTGTAGGAAATTACTCATTTTCTTTCTGTCTCTATAGGTAAATTTGCATATACTGAAGTTTAATATATATAAAACCATGTAGTATGTTCTTTTTCATCTGTCTTCTTTAATTCAGCATAATTATTTTATGAGGTAAAATTTACATAATAAAAAGTTATCATTATAAAGTGAACAATTCAGTGGCATTTGTTGAAGTCATTCTGAAATATCTGTTTCCATCATGTGTACTTAGTACTAAAATATTTTAATCCTATAAAACACTGCATCTGTTGAGAGATTGTTCCCCATTACCCCATACCCTAACTTGTGCAGCCTATCAACTTTAATTCTGTCTTCATCCCCTCTTGGTTTTCTGACCCATATATGCTGTCTCATATCTCCTGCTAGATTGTACATCTGGATTACCACTTGTCTCAATTTCAGGAAACTAATCTGAGTCTTCAAAACATTGTTCTTGCTCCTAACCCTGTGTCTTACCATCATGCCCTTCCTAATATGGGAGAATGGCACTTCCACTTCACCACACAGGCTCCAGGGGCTCCTCTCTCAACAGGTAGGTCAGACCCTCACTCATATTAGTCAGCTTCATTCTGAGCCTCCAAAATAATTCCTCTTGTATAAACCCTTTATAGCCCCTTCAAACCATGCAATGCCTAACACCTGCCAACTCCAAGGTTTTAAGATTTCTCATATGACACTGAGCAGACCCCATTCTTCCATGACTTCAATCTGTTTTCAACTCTGCTCACACACAATCTGCCTCTGGAAAGGTCCTCAAACATCTCAGCCAAACACATTAGATGTCACAGGGAGCAGGAGAGGAAATGGAACAAGAGAAGAAATTTACTTCCCAGTTCCCAGGTTCTGGATGCAGACTCTTTAAGGACAGGCATATTTAATTTTTAAACATAATGAAAAAAGCAAAGAATGAGGACAGTGATATCTGCCCTGAGCTGCATGTCAAAGAGGGCTTGAGAGAGGCTCATTCAGTACATGCCTGTGGGTGGCTGGCATAACAGAGACCTGCATGTTCACTTCAGTTGTTGAGTTTCAGGATAGTATATCTTTTATAATCTCTGTGATCTTGTTTCTTGAAGTTGCTGTGAAAATGGATGTGGAATGAGCACACTGTTGATGGTTAGGGCACTGTGGAAATGTGCCCTTTCATGCTGGCATGTCTTTATGGATTCTGAGCAAAGGTTGCTTTGAGACATTTCAGTCCACAAGAGGACCTGGGAAGTCAGGTCATCTCCTGCTAAGAACACCAAGAAGAAGAGAGGCATGTGTGTTGGAAACCTTTTTGATACAATTAACAAGAGGAAAAAACATTTTAAGGATAGACACTTTTGAGTAAGAAAACGTACTTAGCTACTTACAGGGATGTTATGTTAAGGTAAATGCTTTTAAATTAAATACTTTTAAAAATAAATGTAAGACTTTATTAAAGATGATGTCATAGGACAGTCAAACAAAACAAAACATCTCTGAAAGGCTGGAGAGATTTTAGAAGGAACTCTGGGAATGTGTGATGGCTAATTGAGTTTACACAAAAGCAAAGCAAAACTTTTCATGAAATTCTTATAGATGGTCTCTTTCATTTTGGGTCTTAAGGTCCTCGAGAAAGTTAAAATTCTGAGTAATGGGACCAGGTATTTGAGACAGATATTCTTTGGTGCTTAACACTGGCACGAAGCTGTCAAAAAGACTTATGTATATTTCAACTGACCAGATAAAGGATTAGCAATTACCAAATTGCAATTTAATTTTTAATGGAGTGCTATAAAAAATAGATGTCAGTGGCCTAGATTCAGAAAGAACACGTGTAAGGTTTCCTGACTTTGAGGCAACATTAGCCATTCAGGTCATAACAAAAATGCTTTCTTCACAGTGGTGGGACACACGACTAAATCTCTTTCAGCCAAGATTTTGTTTGCATTGTTGGTACTCTTCTCCCAAGGTCAGTCAGGGTCAAGCAGATTGAGCTTTGCCCAGAAGCTCCATAGAAATGCAAAATGTAGCTTTTCCCCAGTACCCCAAGTTTCCTTATCCTCAGTCTGCAACAGGCAGTCATTGCCCACAAAATCACATTGAATGGGGCTGAGGAGCAGCCTGGCAGTTGTTGTTGGGGCCCTGTTGGAAAGGGGTAAAGACAGGTTGTCTTTGGAGTTTGCTGTGTTGTTAGGATTTTGATACACATTGTATCAAATATGTATATGATTGGAAGTCTTTTAATCCATAAACATAGATGTTTTTTCTCCTTATTTGTTTTTAGTTTTTAATTATTTTCCAGATAATTTGGTAATTTTAGTACATACATCTTCCACATAGTTAGATCATTTTTCTCGTAAGTATTTCATTCTTCCTGGTACTATTTGAAGTGAAACTGTTTTCTTAAATCCATTTTGGGTTTGTTCATTATTGTTACAAACAAATGGGAATGATGTCGACTGTTTATTTTGTACTTTCCAACTTGACTGAATGTACTAGTTTTCATAGTTTTTTCTGTGTGGAAGGAAGAATCTGTAATGTTTTCTACATAGAAGGTGAAGTTATCTGTTTAAGAGATCAATTTCCTTCTTTTTTTTTCCAATTTGAGCACCAAATATGTCTTCTTCCTGACAAGTTGTTCCTTCCAGGGATTCTAACACTATGTTGAACAGGTGGGGAAAAAGTTACTCCCACCTTGTTCTATATATTATTAACATTTTGGTGTTTCTCCATGGAATATTGGGTTAACTATGGGTTTTCCTGTTTGGCCTTTACTGTCTTGAGTAGTTTCCTTCTATTCCTGCAGTCCCTGTCTCTTGTTAAAACCATAAAAACCTCTCTGTAGGAAATTATTTCAGCATGGTATTCAGCTTGCAGTCCTATTAAATCTGTCAAAATATTTAAAAAAAAACACCTTCAAATACAAGATCACAACAACCAGGTTGGGCTATCTTTATGGAATAATAAAATATTTAATACCAGGTAAATGCCTTCCCACTAATTATGTAATTTCCTTGGCCCCAAAGTTGTACAGGTGATATAAACCTGCCTTCCCTAAAATACCAAAACACTTATATGAGGAGTGGAGCATGGTTTTTTGAACAAATATGTTCTAAGATAAAGAAAGTTCATGAGAGAGGAGAATTTCACCTAATGATTAGGTTATAGGACACAGAAGCTGAGAAGAGGTTCTCTGTGCTGATAGTACTGAGATGTCCATGAGAACATTTCAGTGCTTACTCTGGGGTACTCTGTGATCAGAGAACATGTCCAGCCTTCCCTTTACACATTGTTACCT